TTCATTCTGTAGAACAAGCATTTAATAAATTTATAGTTCCAGTGTTCCTTGGTCCTGACCATTTAAGTAGGGAATATACTTTCACACAATACTGTATTCTCAGAAACATTCTTTGGAGACAGAGTGACTGCCATACTAGATGGTACATATATTTATATTAAAGAAAGTGCTGACCATTAGCTTTAGATAATGTCTTACTGTGGCCAGAAGAAGTGTAATTGTCTTGAATTTATGAGCATAGCTCGACCATTTTGGACACAGTAGGGCCGTTCTCTGGAAGCCAAAATGATGGAAGCATTATAAAACACATCACAGACAAGCTCACATGATTGGATCAAGACGACAATGTAGTCGTTGATCGTGGTTTTAGAGATATCTTGCCAATGTAGGGGGCAGCTGGTATTACCAGTATTGCATTAACCTTAAACCTGGCCAATACGAACACTCTGACCTACAGGCTAACATTGCCAGGACAGTTACTAAATTCCAATTAATTTTAGAGTCTTATCATGACCGTAAGTAAACATTGGACATTTTTTAAAACTCAACTTATATCAAATTGCCTCATGTATATAATTGAGCATGCATATTTCGAAGGGATCAATTTATCAAAGATCATTGGAAACTGACAGAAAAGACAGAGAACTTCCACAGAAAAATGATGTTATGACTTCCAAGAGAGCAATGTCAGAATTCGAAACTATGGATGCATCTTCACTCACTTTTCCAGAGCTCAATTTGGAATATTTGAAGACTATAACTTGTGGCACCTACCAGTTAGCATTAGCTAATGGAGATTATGAAATATAAGTGTATCAGCACTCTCAAGACCGCACCCGTTGTCAAATTCGCTCCTGACACAAGAGCCAGACTAAATATAATTCAGTACAGCACGACACCAAATGATATTAATCCAATAAAAGACTACTACTGTCAATACCGAGTTGCCAGAGTTGTTCAAAGAACTATGGGAAAGTATGGTTTGGTTGGGTTTAGTATTGTCTTATCGACAGCTTTGGGAAAGTGTGATCATACATCAAGTTTACTTTATTATGTTAGCTATAATAGCAATCTTCAAAATCCAGAACAGTTGCAGCCAAGGGCTAAAAAGATCCGAAAAAGCTTGATTTTTTTCTTTTTTTCTTGTGAATCCATAATTACCAGTTTGAAAACAAACTTAATACCTCGCATCATTTTTTTCTCTTCCTTCTTTTTTCCTAATCTGCCATTCGAACACATCTCATACTCTAGCATCTTACACATTGTTATCTGTAAATGTCATCAGCAGTTAAAAGGGCGTCTAACTTTAATATTTATATAAAAATTAACAAACACACAATCTCTGAATTCCATTGATATCGCAAGGATCTGACAGCTGACCGGTTAGTAAAATTGATGTTTAGGTGCCCATCTTGAAAAGGATTAAACCAACGAATCTTTTCCAAACATTTTCTCTGTTGATTAAATAGTCATTCCATCCCAACTTGAACATTTTTTTCTTCTTTTCTGTCAGTTTTCAGATATATTAACTTGACCATACATACAGCCATGACCTCTGATGTATAGACCATATGATTATTTGATTACGTCTTTGAATATGTTTCACCACATATTTTGAATTTATATTTTTGTCGCTGGTAGTTCATAACCTAGTCCACCTATAATAAACATGTTTTTGGTATACAAAAGTTAAAAGATACTTTTATTCTAAGATGAACACATAAGATCATTGCTTGAGATGGCTTCTGACTGTTCTCTTTTCTCTGTAAATACCTGATCACTAACCAAAGCAAGGGATTTTTACATGGACACCCTAACAAATGATTCTTAGTTTTAGTTGCATCATCAATAATCCATCAATGCGTTATTAGTTTGACAACATTCGTCATTTGGGGGAAAACCGGCTTATTGAGAATTTCAGTTGTATGCTTCTACGAAAGACGAACCAACTACTCATTTAAATTATAATGGTGTTTTTTTGTTGTGATAAGTAAGGTTAAGGTCTACACCTAACCAACAGAAAATTGAAACCAAAAGGAGGGGCTGTCTGTACTCATTTTTGATTAACAACTATTCTTTTTTTGAGAAAAAGAAATGGTTATGGTATGATGCGTTAAAACAAGGATTTAAATTGTTCTTGTAACGTATCTGTTCACAGAATCTAAACAAGTAACTTTATAACATTTTTTTTATATTGGATGTAGATTCACAAAAGCTCCAAACACAATTAGAAAGCAAGGCGGCTTTATCTTATCCTGACCACCTTTTTAATATCTACTCCCATTCAGATGTGACGTTTTGAAATCAATTTTAGAAAGTTACAAGAATCTTATTTCTATATTCTTATAGATCCTTGACTGTTTTTTTTATCGGAAGTCTGAAACCTACATTGTTCCTTGTGTGCATGAATTGGAGGTTATGCGCTCTTGATAAGCTTTTGGTATTTCCATTTCTGCCAAAGTCTTCGTCATACAAAGATATGAGGGGGGGGGGGGGGGGATAACAAAAACACGTGAAAGGCGTTTAGTGTCTCAGTAATATGTATATCAAAAGACCCAAGGTAATAAAAAATTTAAAAAAAACATAATTCACTGTTGCAATGTCAGTAGGTATTGATATGTTTTCAGTGTCTTAGGTTACTCGTTTCAATCCTTAAACAGATGCGTAACCATTTCCAACAGATACGTTATCGGTCAAGTATTACACTCATGCTACTTAACATTATGACTAAAACAAACGTTGAATACATGTTATCACCACTTTGGATCAAATGTTCACATAACCAAGTCAATTTTATTTGAGAAAATAATTCACCAAAACAGAAATGTGACCAAAGTGCACATATACTTCACATGTTTTTCAAGAGATGTGATCCTTTATGTCCCACTGAATTCTTTCATATCGTTTTACTTATTAATCCTTTAAAATCCAATTAACTTTGTTTTGAAGATATTTCTCTTCCAATTTAAGCAAGCTGGTGCAAAAGAACATGTACAGCTGGTAAAAGGTTTGACTACATCATCCACATCAACATTTTACGAACATAACCTGAGTCTAGAGTATCGTTGTTATAAGAAACGATTTAAGATTTTAAACAAAATTAAAACACTCAGTATTCACTTTAGTTAACACATTGTACAATAATGTTGCACTTCAGTTTTATCGTGTTAGTTATAACAAAATAACCACGGCAATGAGTAGGGTGAGGGTTCCAAAAATGGAACTCGTTATGAAGAAAAATATTAATGTTTCCTACTTTTGAAAGACAAATGTTTTACTGAAATGAAACAGAACATGGCTTTATCCTTCATTTTGTGTATTTCTTATGTAAGTATGTATCATTAGCGATTGATTTGAGTCGTGTTCACTTAGAATTTTAACCTGGTAGAGGACCCGGAATGGAACATTAAAGTCAGTTTATGAAAAAAACTTACAGCATTTGAAATAATTATCTGACAATTTCTGACAAATTTTACTTATTTATTCCCTAAAATATTTGTTTGAACATACAGTGACTCAGGTTAGGAAATATGATATGACTTTTGTGTTGTCGCACCGTACCGTTTCTCGGGGTATTTTTTCATGTCCTTTTTCTACTATTTCAATTGAGTTTATGAGCGATTTAAAAGAGGTAAGCAGATGAAAATTGCTCAAATTGCATAAAACTTCATCCATCTTGATTGAGAATATATACCATTCATTTTTATGCAAAATAAAACAGAAAATGCTGCATCATATATATCAAAAGTGTTTCATTTTGGGTACCGTTCCATTGTAGGTACCCTCACGCTACAGTTTTATTTGACAAATACAGATCACGTATCTGTAAAACAAATACGGTTTTAATGCGTGATACTTGATATAAATGCTTATATAATAAATGTCGCTGGATGTCTATGCGATATAAGTCAATATTTCAAGCTATTTGAAATTTGTATTAAACGATAATAAACGACTGTAGTAATAGGTTTTTCTTTTAGTAACGTATCGGCAAGATATTTTCATAATTTTGCGACATAAATGTATCGTAAAGAAATCACATTTAAGCCCATAGACAGCACAGTTAACAATCCAGTTTCGAACCCGATTGCCAAACGTACACCAAGTATTTTAAGCTACTGTTTGTCAATGTCGCCACGCTAACAGGGGAGGGGGAAATTCATCAGGACCAGTGTTGGTTTAACGAGATATTTCTGAATTCATTCCAAGATTTCAGGAGCGATTGCCTCCAAATTGGGTACAGATGTTCTTTATGAGTTACCGACTAAGGCTACCTAGTCAGAAAGGGCTACAGGGAATGATTCCAAACATTGTGCACATGTGTCCCCTTTGAGTATCTCACTTTTCGTGTCGAGCAAAAAGTAAATATCAACGATACATAGGTGTATAGATAACTCTGGATTACTTCTGACTTTGTGATTTTGTGATTTTGTCATATATATTTGTATTTGTAATGAACAAACATAATTAACATTGGAAACAGGATATGTCAAACATTTAAACGCGTATATAAGAAATTGCAGTGGCTATATTTCTAATGTAAATCACATGCATAATTTGTAAGGAAGCATGTGGCATACATTTCAGAAACAAATAGCGTTATATGAGATTTTATTGTCTTTCCGAGCAAGGTGAGGTTTAAATTTCTCGGTATCCAGTTTGTTATCGTAGGCTTAGCAAGGCGCTCTGAATGAACTTCAAAATTGATATTTGTTAAAATAAAACAGATGTTATATCTTCAGTCCTTTATCAAACTACAAAGAGCGGAGTAAAATACGATACGAGGACAATTTGATTAATGATTTTTTATTAAACCCTTATAAAGAAAACTGTATTGACAATTCCTGTCCCAACACGGTCGTCTTTTATATACATTTTTCACGTAATGACCTTATCTGTCATCTGTCATACAACCACTGTTCTAACCAAACGTGTTACCTACCGTAGTAGTATTGACCTCAGTGTGTTTCAAACAACCGCTGTACTGAATACATCGTCTCTCAGACAACCGCTCTACTAACAACGTCGACTCTCAGACAAACTGCTGTACTGGAGGTCGGGGATCGAGAAAAAAATACACCTGCTGTCACCAAATGCACGCATCATAAGCGACTAATGTTTTGGCGTTGATGTTGAACGAGTATTTAAACATTTGTCGCCTGTTTATACATTGTGTGTGTACCTACGCATAGGCGTTTTTGTATTTGTTATGCCGTGGCGTACATCTGGGTATGTTATATTGTGACAAATAGTGAAGAAAGTGTAGATTCGACATAGTCGTGGTACGCTAAGAAAAACAAAAAGGCAAAAAGCAAAGGTAAGCATATTTTATCTACTTAGGTTTTGGTTTACGTGCCACATATATTGTTTTTAGTTTGTACAAGAATGAATCGTAATAAAAGGGCACCCATCTATTTATTTGTCTTTCTAGAAAATACTTAAAACATACGTAGTACGTTTACGACAATTTCATAGTTATTATTTTCGTAGTACAAAGAATAACATTGCGTTTTAAGTTTTAATTGTTGGCCCTAATGACTATCCTGGGCCGTAAATATATTGTTTTAAGCGACTTCTTCTCTAGAACTAAGTGATCGATATCAACCATATTTGGCTTGTAGCATCCCTAGGTGGTGGGGATTGAAAATTGTACAAATGGTGGGGCTGACCCGCCAGGGGACTGAGGGTCGAGGCAAAAAGGAGGCAATTTAGCTATATTACTATAAACAACTTCTTCTATAGAACTATGCGTTGGATATCAATCATATTTGATCAAAAGCATTCATGGGAAGCAGTGATTCAAAATTGTACCAATGATGTGGCTGAAACCCTAGGGGGCTGAGGAACGGGGCTAGAAAGGGTTATCTGGCTATATTGCTTTTCCTCTCTGGAACCAAGTGATGTATATTACCCATATTTGACTGGAAGCATCCCTGGGTGGTGGTGCTTCAAAATTGAACAAATGGTGGGCCTGGCCCCCAGGGCTAAGGCCAAAAAGGTGTATTACTTGGAAATGGTTGAGATCCCAATTCCGTATAACCATATATACAATTGCTGAGGATAAAGAGAAAAATGCACATTTGCCGCAAGGATGGCCCTAGGGTCTGGCCCCTACCTTGGAGACATAGTAGCTGGGTCATAACTTGAAACTGTTGATATACCCACCCCAAAACTATGTATACAAATGCTGGGCATAAAATGGTGAATGCAGTCATGATAGTAGAATTGATCCTTGGGTCTGGTAATACCCTAGGGACCTAGTTTCTGAGTCACAGCTTGGAAACAGTTGAGATCCCTGCCCCATAACCATACATAAAATTTCTGGGCATGAAAAATCTAATACAGATATTCTATAAGGATTGGCCTTGGGATCTGGCATATTCCCTGGAACTCATTTGGAGAATGTTTTGCCATGATTGCTTCAACATCCAGGTGAGCAATACAGGCCATCTGGGCCTCTTGTTATTATTTAAAAAATCCCGACCGACCTTACTTATTTTCCCAGCCATTTTACCTGTTACTTTTCATTTAATTGTAAACATTCAAGTCCCCAAAGAAAACGGCCAAATCAAAATCTATTTACTTACGTCTATTTATTGATTTAAGGTACGTCGTCATTTATATGTTATCTTAAACGTCCCACCTCCGTTAAGTATACCTTGGACCGTAATCATGTCGGAGCATGATATTTAAAATATATCCAAATTGTCAATGTGCTTAGTACAGGTACAATGTAGAATGATTTATTGGGTTTGAGATTGTACCTGATAAGTGACATGTTTTTAGTTATCGATTTAGAGGGGCTATTAAGCCAAACGACACCCTAAAAATCGAGTAGATACTGAAAGTAAATATATCCTTATTTTACACATACACAATAGATCGCAAGTAAACTTAGAATCCCATTCGTGTTATTAAATTTTAGACACATCTTTTTACTTTCGATTTTTTTTATTTTTTTTTACAGATTTCGTCCATGCAGAAGTAGTATCTGAATTTGTTGTATTTTTAGCTCACCTGGCCCGAAGGGTAATATGGGTAACAGGGGTCAAATAGGTTAAAATATTCAAACAACTTCTTCTCAATAACCAAAAGGCCAAGGGTACTGATATTGAGCCTGTAGCATGCTGGGATGACGGGCTACCAAGTTGGTTCAAATGAATTACCTTGACCAACTTCCAAGATCACAGGGGTCAAATGTCTTTAAATCTTCAAACAACTTCTAATCAATAACCAAAAAGCCCAGGGTACTGAAATTAGGCCTGTAGCATTCTGGGATAAAGGGCTACCAAGTTTGTTCAAATGAATGACCTTGACCCACTTTCAAGGTCACAGGGGTCAAATGTCATTGAGTCTTCAAACAACTTCTTCTGAATAACCAAAAGGCCCAGGGTACTGATTTTAGGTCTGTAGCATGCTGGGATGAAGGCTTCCAAGTTTGTTCAAATGAATGACCTTGACCCACTTTCAACGTCACAGGGGTCAAGTGTCTTAAAATCTTCAAACAACTTCTTCTCATCAACCAAAAGACACAGTGTACTGATATTGGGCCTGGCGCATGCTGGGATGAGGGCTATCAAGTTTGTTCAAATTAATGACCTTGACCCACTTTCAGGGTGACATGGGTCAATTGTCTTGAAATCTTCAAACGATTTCACAATAACCAAAAGGTCCATAGTACTGGTATTAGGTCTGTAGCATGCATGGGTGAAGGGCTACCAATTTTGTTCAAATTAATGACCTTGATCCACTCCTAAGGTGACAGGGGTCAAATGCCTTAAAATCTTCAAACCACTTCTCAATAACCAAAAGGCCCAGGGTACTGATATTGGGCCTGTAGCATGCAGGGATGAAGGACTATCAAGTTTGTTCAAATTAATGACCTTGACCCACTTTCAACCAAGTGTCCTTGTTCGTCATTCCAGGTGACAGGTGTATGTATGATTTTCTTATCAGAAATTATTTTATAGGTACACTTATGTTAGTGAAAAAAATGTCAATTCATATTAAGAGTTTTGAGCAGTGGTTTGACAATCATTAATATAACTAAAATGACTGGTTCCCAAAAAATGTGAATATTGAAATAATAATTGTGTACATCGCATTTTGGTGATGGCTTTCACACAACGTTTTACTCTCAAATATTGATATATCATGTCTATTTATTGATTTAAGGTACGTCGTCATTTATATGTTATCTAAAACGTCCCACCTCCGTTAAGTATACCTTGGATCGTAATCATGTCGGAGCATGACATTTAAGATATATAAAAAAATGTCAATGTGCTTAGTACAGGTACAATGTAGAATGATTTATTGGGTTTGAGATTGTACCTGATAAGTGACATGTTTGTAGTTATCGATTTTTTTCCTTTTCTCGTGCTTTCTACTTCGAAAACTACAATAGATGGAAATACTTTGGTTTGTTTGTGTTTTACGTCTTATTACGTCTATAGTCATTTAAGGACGTGTCAGGTTTTGGTGATGGAGGAAAGCTGGGGTTCCCGGAGAAAAAACAACTACCTACGGTCAGTACCTTGCGACTGCCCCACAAAGGTCTCGAACCCGCGACCAAGTGGCGGAAGGCTAATGGTGGCAGAATGTCGAATGCCTTAACCACTTGGCCATCGCGGCCCCTAGATAGAAATACAACATAAGAAATAAACAATTAACCCTTATGACTATGCACTTTGAAAGTTTCTCTTTAAACTAAATACCTTTTATTGTATAATCGTTTTTTTAAAACGCTTTATTATGTTTCGTTTGTTTTGCTCATGGTATATGAATCACGATTAATAATGTCATTATTTTCTAACGTTGCAGGTAAAAACAATGACGGTTGTCTTTGTGACCCGCATTCCTAAAGGGTTAAAACATGCCCCTGTGTCACGAATAATAAAACAAGGCATTGAAACAGGTATGTCGAGATATTTAGTAAGCATTCAGGAATCATTAACCTAAAGGCTTCTCTGCATCCGTAAGGAAATGATAGATGAATATTCCAATCAAATGTTACCGTTATTTATCGCACTTTTTTCCGAATTATGTATGTAACCTGATTTAAAGGTTTCTGTGGAAGTCTTTGAAATATGCTTTTGAACAAGAACACCTGGCATTAGAAATGATTAAAATGTATTTTTACTGATAAAATGATTTGATTATCTCTGTAAAATGTTTGCGTTTTCGTGTTACCGTTCATGACACTATTCGTATAGTGTTATCTAGTGTATTGCGTTTTATGATTGCAGTTGCTCAGGTAAAGAAAATATGGGTACATCCAAATAAGGTAAGGTTTCCATTTTTTAAGCATTAATGAAATTTATTATATGCATGAACATTTCTCGCAATCACATTGGTCGGATCATATACACGTGACCAGTCCTCAAAAACTCATGTAGACTGGTTATATCCGGTGAATATCGATTTCTTAATATAGCCTATATGGAAATTCCAGGAACCTGTCGTAGCGTATGCGCAGTTAGACCAGAACGCGATCTGCCAGACGACATTAGAAGATGGCTGCAGGCGAACGTTTCTCCTCCGTTACATCAGAAAATTACCAAAACTATCCGAGAATAAAGATGCGTTTAACATAAAAAGGCCATTACACACGCAGTGCATGTCCTCCATGCTTATCTTAAGAAAAAGAACCTACGAAGCTGAACTGTTGAATTCAAACCTGGCTAAATTTTACACGGAGGCTCGCTTACAAAAATCAGAACCTTGAGTTTTGTTTTGTTTTATTTTATTGTTGAAGCATATGATAAAACAGTTATGGGCTTTTGTGCTGGTAAATATGATGTGCTATGAACCTGAAAAAGTGATATTGACCTCGGTTTCGCCACAGTCAATATCACTCTTTCTGGTTCATATCACATCATATTCACCAGCACAAAAGTCCATATTCGTATAATATCATTTTATTACATTTTTGCCAGTGAAATATGGAATCTATCAACTTGATAAAGCTGATATCTTTCACACTGTGACAAATATCAAAAGCGATATTTTCACAGTGTGAAAATATCACTTTTTAGTATTGACCAATCATAACGGTATCTTCTATTCGCTGCATTCAAAGGCAACGATATTTTGTTCAGATTCATATGAAGCGACGGTAGAATAAGTAGTTTGTGGTAAATGTTTGGTACACAAACTTAAGTATTTCCATATATATACCAGTAATGACCTTTTTTATAAGCAATCATACCAGAAAATAGCAGAAAACGTCGATATTGCGTTGAGAATACCAATCAAAATGGCGCGCAGCCTTGTTGCCAAGCGTGACGTCATTAGAATATGGCGCTTATAATTACGCTTCTTATTCCCGCCCTTTTTTAATGCATTTCATTTCAATGTTTTATGTTTTAAAAATGTAATAAATAGAAAAGTTAATGGTGTCTTCAGTAATAACAAATATATTTCACTCGTGTGGCTAATATTTTGATATTTTTCACGAGTGCGAAAACATATCACTTAAGTTCCATGAAATTGTAATAATTAATTTTAATGATGCCTAAAAAATAATTCTTTCATAAGCATAATGGCATTTGCAAACATGCTTATTGCCAACAGAATTATAAATAAGATAATCATATAAAATCTATTCATTGAATCTGATTCAATAAAATGTATGTGTATTTTCACACATCCTTAGTATCATGTCAATGACCGCAAATGTCTTCATTCGCCATTTTCTAAGCCTGGTCCGCACGCTCAGCGGCCACAGATAATTTTACATAACCATTTACTTCCAAAAGTCTCTTAAGGCCATTGCGGTTTAATTTGCAAAAGTAGAAATCGTAATGGTGTGTCAAAGACAACTAGCAACAAGATGAACCAGGATTACGGAGAAGAAGTTTCCTCGGAAACGGCGAGTACATTAGATCACAGTGTTAAGAATACAGAAGTAAACGTTCTGCAGTTAAAGACAAATGTGTTGCACGCAATGCATTCGTGCAATGGAGAGGTCAGGGAATCACAGGGTAATGGCTATTAAATCTAGTTTGTAATCTCATTAGAATAAAATACACCTAAATTGACGTATTCCTTGAGTTGATATTTATTGACGAGTGTCTTCAACAATTTGAAAACTAACTAACAAGAGTAAGATAAACGTGATAACTAATCATCACGAGTTTGGGAACCTGTTTCTTCCATAACATTCGTATTTGATCAGAAAAAAACACATTGTTCCCTTTGAAATACATCATTTATGTTTCCGATGCGGAAACAATTGCCATGGAGTATGACGTCACAATACAAATTGACGTCGACATGCTTTGTCACGTATCGTCATCAATCAAATATTGACCAATGAAATCATGTCCAAGGAGTAACCCACTACTGGATAACCAAAACTGTTTACCAAAACCTAGCAGGTTTATCCAATGCGTCATGAGAAATGAAACCTACATGCTTATGGGAGAAATCATTTTCTAAAATCGCACATTATTTATCACCATATCGAGAATGTTGCTCTTCTGATTGGATTCATCATATTTGCTGTTCTGTTAATCTGCTAATTAGATCCCTAATCAGGATTTATCAGAATCATTAAAGCCAGATTATAAATAATCTCTAGCTGCAATCTTAAGTTTTGAGACGCTTGTCTTATCTATTTTTCAGGGGTATGCATTCGTTGAACTATACTGTGAGTCTTCAATAGACATGGTTCTTACGTTGGACAAAGTGAGTTTGAATATAAATACTTAAAAAAGACAATATATATAAATGTGCAGCAATGCTGCGGTTAAGCAGTATGTTGTGAGATGCACACGTGTTATAACACATTAATAGCTTTACAGATAGTATCGTATTAATTAAAGCACTATTTCTGAACGGTTTTGTTTTGTTTGTTTGAAACACCTTATTAATATTCTCAAATTTATGTGAATTTTAGCTTTCTTCATTTCTTTTTCAACACTTTCTCCTGGCTACTATATTTTTAGCCCACTATCAGTATTCAAATCGCCCTGCGTCCTTGGTCGGTCGTCCGTCCTTAACTAATTATTGTTATCACTATTTCTCAGGAAGTACAAGAGGGATCTTTCTCGAAGTTTTTATTTTTTTTTATAAGTTTTTTATACACAGCAGTATTAATTTTGATCAAAAGTTACTTCAAGGTGCATTTACTGTTAACATGACTCGATCAAACAGATTAGAGAAAAGATAAAACTGACAAAGAACTGATGAAGATGGTACAATGGTGGGCGCCAAGATCCCTCTGGGATCTTTTGTTGGCACTACAGCCACATATAAACTATCATGATTTATAAAAGTTTTTTTCTAGCAAATTGAAGTAAACAAAGCTCCGTTACAACTAGAAAGGTCCAAGTCGTCAATCAGAAAGAGAAGACAGCAGGTAACCAAGAAACAAGTGGAACATGTTCAAACTCCTGACTCCTTAAATAGCAGTAGCTTTGTTGGATACCATACGTATACAGAATATAAACATGACCGAAACAAAAAAGAAAGGGGGCACAAACCAGCAGTCATTTCCATTAGAAAACTCAAAAAGAAAAAACCATGGAAGAAGGTCACAATGCAAACTCCCATAACACCACCAAGACCAAGGCTTGTCAAGAAAGTGCCCACGGGGTTTGAACATTCCAGAAAAAGAAATTACCATCATATCATAGCAAAGGTAAATTGTCTTCAATAGAGAATTATGTTTATTATTCTTATTAGTAAATACACAAATTTAAGTTTTGGAATTACAAATAAAATCAGAATATATTCACACTACCTACATGGATATTGCGTCGTTTGGAATGTATGTACAGTCAAATAAAATATAAATATTGATTTTAACTTATTGAATATTATAACCTTTCATCTTCTTATCATCCATATATCGCCTCAATTAAGTAATTAACCGGATTGAAGGAATTTGAGAACCTTATTGGCATGTTCTCATGACGAACTTACCAATCAGAAACTAGCTTTCATGAGTCGGCCCATTTTTATTGACGCGTGCTGAGCCTGTCAATTGTACAAGACTGAATATTTGGATATATGAACAACCTACTGTCAGCGGTTTACAGATCCCATTTTGAAATAATAATGGCCAGATTCCTACAGTATGCATGACAAGCAGCTCGTTTCGACATCGGTGAATTTTTACTTCGCAAAAACAAATGTTGACGTTGTGTCTGATTAAAAATATGTTTTTCATTCAAGGACTGGGTCACACACCGGAGGTAGATTCAGAAAAAAAGTAGGGGGTCTTGCTTAAATTTGATGATCGGAGCTTAACATGAGTGAATCATGGTTCTTTCGGCAATAATAACATGACCCGTTTCAATTCAAGCATTCGTTGCAAACGAATCGTTTTGAAACAGTCTTAGATCAGATATGATCACAGTTCGACTGAAAATCTTTTTTTTTGTAATCATATTTGTCTAAGTAATTTTTCTCATGTGGTATATTTCTATCATAATGAAATTGTTATTGTAGTGTCCATCCATCACGACATGTGTTGAGCACCGAAATCGTAAACAGAACAGTGTCCTTAACAGTATTCCTGTCGACAGTATCCAAAATGTTGAAGAAGATATTATTCCTGCCTGTGGCAAGGATGCTTCGAAAATTTCAACCCCTCATACAGATTGCGGAAGCTCATCTCTAAAAACAAGTGGTTATTTTACTTTTCAAAAGCGTTTGCCGCTCAAGCGTGTTGCAAACAACCCCGGTAGTCAGTTTGTTCAAGCCCATGTGTATCACAACTCAAAATATCTTTTCGACATAGATGTTGACAACAACATGGTTTTTGAAAGCATTCAGACTGCAATATGTCACAAGCATAAAATTACCTCAGACTCGTTTCTCTTATTCTTTAACGGTAGGTTGTTGGATAAAACGTCTCAAACAATGATATGTAACGATGAAAATATTCACATGACTGTCAAAGGTGTTGGTGGCATGAATGAAGATGATCGACAAAGTTCAAGAAGAAGAAGAAGGTTGAGAGGTGCTCAGGAAAGGATACGAGGTTGGTAAAACTTTACATATAATTGAATCATTTACATGTACAAACATCAAAGCGTATATTCCATTTTACACAATTACCTACTTTCGTTTTGCATAATGAATGTTTAAAACATAAGCTGGGCATCATGATTATGATAATTTATTTGGAATTTATTTACCATCGTTTTTTTTAGGTGCGACATGGAATCGTGTGGAAGATAGATACTCATCCTCGGGACCCTTCGAGCACCAACATGTTACTCGAAAACCTGTAAATAGCAGTGGACGAAGGACTTACTTTGATCGGTGGTCAGCAGAAAATAGAAGTGCATCTAGCAACAGAGGTTATTTAGCCACACGTTCAAAACCAATCACTCGGCAAACAGGTAAGCATTCATATCTGTATCCCCAATGAGTGACACAATTATCGGTGTACGTCAATGTCACGCAGACGGTCCATCTGATCTTGAATGCAGCAGAGGCATTTAGGAGGAGAGTTGACTTTTTCGACAAAATTGCCCCACAAAATGGCTTCTGCTTATTTGAATAAATATCTTGACGATTTTCTCTCGGTTTTGTTATAAAAGTGTGTTACGGTACTGCAAACCCTATGTTCGTTTTCGTTTTTTAAGTTGCCAAATACTTGTCTCTGATTGATAGAACTTTGAGTATTGACAGATTTTAATCATATTTGATATGTAGGTGTTTCTTGATACAAGGAAATCTATTGCAGACACAGATTTGAGAATGGATCACCGTAAGTTAGCCTCTGATTGGTTTAAAATTTCATATTAACATATTTTGCTAAAATTGGTATACACATTCTGTTTCCTACTGGGACAAAAAGGCCGCAATAACATGCCTTCTCATTGGCTGAAATTGTGATACAGTCCCCTGTTGATCAAAGAAGGTATGTAGGGGCTTTTAAATCGTTTCGTTTTTCTGGTTCATCTTTGTGACCGTGGTTTGAGGTATTTCATAAATGGTCCCTTTTTCAATTGAAAATCGTCGTTTTTCTTTTGCCTGTATATCTGTAGTTGGCAATCATCATCCCATTTGTTATATAAATAATAATATCACATCTGTACAATGTAATATTCTCTTCTGAATAGAGCTCAGCATGTAAGAAAATCGCACTGGCTTCCGATATATACAAGTTTAACTACATATTACCTGGTTTAAACATTTTTCTTTCAGATTTGTTCCTCTATATATCAAACATCCAAAGACAAACTATTGCTTATATACTATAAGTAAAAACGTAACCTACGTATATTTCGGGCATATATTCCTGCGAGGTCTAGTGGCAGTTACTTATAATGACATGAAATCTGCTTAAAGAACATGACTTAAAAATAACTTGGGGTATTTCAGAAAAGACAACGAAACCCGTTGAGGATATAAGCCCATCTTTACGGGAGATATCCTCTTCCCTCGATCACTTACACCTTACTCCTACACCTTCATCTCGCAGTAGACGATCAACTATAACGGATGTCGATGATTGGCTGTCAAGAGGAAACAGAACTGCAAGTGACTACTACAGCTCTCGACATTTTGCAATATCTCCAGAACCAGTAGATCAACAAACAGGTGACCTTTTATATTTTGTTTTATTTTTCCTTCATTTCATTTGTTTTGAATTTTAATCTATTTCTTATCGTTGCGTATGTGAAATATGTACAGCGTTATCTGTTTCATGTTCAGTTTCATGCAAAACATATAATCACGCATAACGCATAACTTATCTGTCTGTGTTCTTTGGAACACAACTATCTGTTAAATGTTCTTATGATTATGATTTTAATCATATATATTTAATGAGTTAAAAATCTTCCCTCCTAATTGACCCCGATTAACAGTTTGGCGAAGAGATGATTAGGAAAAACACGAATTAAAGTTAATTCAGCTATTGGTTTATTTAACAACCTAGAGGGCCTGTATAGCTCACCTGGATGATAAAGCAACAATTGGAATTATTCTTATTACATAGAATTCCTCCAGTGGTTCAGAAGACTATTTTTTTTAAAGATTTAAGCCTCTAATTTCCCTATTGGGCCCCGCAAATTTCAGCCCCGTAGGGGGTCCATACCCACCATTTATACAAAATTTAGTCCCCTTTGCCCAAGGATGTTCAAGATAAAATTGGGATATAATCCCTCTATTTATATGGTAGAAGAAGGATTTCAAAGGTTTTTTCCTCTATTACTCTCATTGGACCTCGCAACTCTGCCCACAGGGGCCCCAATCCACCGTTTATACAAAATTTAGTCCCCTTGGCCCGAGCATGGATCTTAAAGGGTACCACTATTTCCCTCTATTTCCCCTCTATTTCCCCTATTCGGCCAACCCCTTTGCCCCTAAGGGGGGGGGGGGGGGGCACTCCACTTTTTTTTCAACATATAGTCCCTTTTCCCCAAAGATGCTTCAGATTAAATTAGCATAAAATCCCTTGATACCTACAGCAGAAGAGGTATTTTAAGGTTTTTATTTCCTCTATTGGTCTCTGTCTCCAGGAGGGCGACGCCTACCATTTATACAAAATCGGGTCCCTTTTGCCCAAGGATGGTCCAGACAAGAAAAATGTCCTTATCCCTACAGTATAAGTTGTATTTTAAAGGTTTTACCTCTATTTCCCATATTTGGCCCACTTCTCTGCCCTCAGGGAGGCCACAACAAACGTTTATGCAAAATTGAGTCCCCTTGGCCCAAGAATGCTCCAAACAAATTAGGATAAATCCCTTAATCCATACCGTAGAAGAAGGATTTCAAACGTTTTTACCTCTTTTTCCCCTATTGAGGCCCCACCTCTCTGTCCCCAGGGGGCCACACCCACCATTTATCCAAATTTAGTCCACTTGGCCCAATGATGCTCCAGACCTAATTAGGATCCTCTCCATTCAGTAGAAGAAGGATATTAACTCAGTTATAATTTGAAGCAAATATTCTCGGTATTGACCCACCACACGAGTACATAGTTCTGTATATGTATCGACAGGAAACGAGAAAGCTGGAATCGCTTCGTACACAAAACAGACAGCGAATGTACAAGAACAAAGTCAACTAAGAAGGTGTGGCTCCCCTGAACAAAAAGAAGGTTATCCCCTGTAATACTAATTAGATCATTTATTTTGTGACTTTTCATTTTATCAGCAGAAATGTTATTACTTTCTGTTCGATTAAATATAACTGGGCAAAGAAGAGATAATGGAAGTGCAGGCAAAGAAATGTGTCGATGTTTTTAGCGCAATCGGCTCCTTTTTGAAGATCGGATCACAGACACTTTCATTTAATATGTGAAACAATAATACAACATAAAAGACATGTTGGTACTGGCTTATAATGCATTTTCTCACATAATGATAAATAGCTCTTCAGATGAGTAGCATATGTCCGACATGTTGAATCAGCCCAAGCCTTGCTTTTCATCCCAGCTGCCACCTCCTGCAGTTCTTTTTCCAGCACACAATCTTTTGACAACAAATAGGAAAGACATGATCATACAATTCCTAAATAGTGAATGGTGTCAGGTGTAGAAACGGCACTAGTTCATACAGTAGAGTTAAAAATATGTAGCTTATGAGGTTCGTGGAGCCTGGAACTTGTATCTGCGATTACATTATTAATATATACACACTTCAATGTAAAATTACGAAAGATAAGCATAGCTTTTGGGTTACGCGACGACCCCTTGTTGAACCAGGGTTATTGTCTGTATGAATAATAATGCATCTGTTTTGTAGACTTGTACACCACCGACAAAAAGCAAGAAATAATGTTGTAAGTTATTTGAGGTTGTTGTGTTCCGATTGCAGGGCCGGCATATCTAGACGCCAGTTGTTATAGAAGTATTATTGCATACTAGACCGAGATTTACGCATTTCCGGCGGTGCTGGAAATTTCTATCCGACCCCCGGGTCTAGATCGCTTACACGCGCAGACTGACTGGGGAATTATAATGACCTTTTCACGCTATTGTTCGTGACGTCAATTTATGACGTTTTGGGGTCAGTCAGGGTCATTGACGTCACAAGCAATTGTCATCCGGGCTCCATATGCAAATGAGAAATGTGCGGACAGTTAATAACTTTACTAGAAAAGCAGCTATTTAAGGTAATAAGCAAGAAATAGAAGGGGGTCTTTTGCTCAATATTTTAGCCCGGGGGTTTGAATAACCTTATCAATTAGTCCCCTTTAAAGTATGCCCCATCACCGTCTGTACAAGCATCTGTCTGTAAAGATGTAACAGGTTTTGAGTCGATTAATACTGCCAGGAAGGATATCCACTATTCTATATTTGCGAAGAATTTCTCCGTTAATAACACCCTGTGATTCATGTTGGTCACCGACTCTTTTATGTTTATTTTGCGTCGTAAGAAGGTCCCTTCTATTATTGACCAGTTTATAGAGAACCCTAGGGTTTTTAAGGGTTTTATGAGGATATGAAGAGCCCTTTCATAGCGCAACGAATTAAAAAGTCATCCAGTTAGGCTATAACCGTAATACCAAATCTGTCCTTGACAATACGGCAAACCGCACTAATGAGTTTTTGGAAGATCTGGGCGCTTTTACGTTCCCCAAAAAGCAAACGGGAATCAAACATGTATGTGGGCTCATAATCCCCCGAGAACTTCAAATTAAGCATGTTGCTTGGTTATTTGAAGGGTAAATAGGTACCGACCGATACGCGCTACTCAGATCGACATAAGCCATGTTACAAGTTGGTGTTACATGTTTTTCAGCCTCTTTTATGTTCATATAAGTACACGAGCAGTCAGAAAGAATGAATATGGTCGTTACTAGGCCGGTTTGCGTCATGAATCAACCGAATCTTCCAGTCCGATTTTGGTATGGCACCCAAGGCATTTACAATTCTAGGTTTAGTCTGTGTAATAACATATACATTGTTTCTTTCATCTTGTATCTGTTTCTGTACTAAGTCACGATGTTTTGCACATGATGAATAATTGTCAATTTCAATATCCTCTATAAAATCCTCCTCCAGAATTTTAAAATCATGTCTGATACCATCTAAAATATAATCACGTTCAGGATCTTTCTCATTTAATAAGTCATGCCGCGCACTTAAACACAAAGGAACTTTAACCTCAATGTCCAATATCAATATATTTGGCACATCACGACCTTGATGTTTAGTAGCTGAATAATCTCCCACGAAACAAACACTAAAAGTATGTGCCAGTCTACATGCTGGTAGGTTACATGTGTCTGCATTAAATTGTCGGCAAATTCCGCGTCCATTGGGTAGGAAAGGCCCTATTTTACGTTTATAAGCCCCATTGTGCCTGCTCAACCTGCTAATAGTTTCGTCGTCGGGTTATTTGGTTTAGCTAGTAGTTGAAAGTCCTGTAAATCTCTCTTTGAGGATGACCAATGTAATCCTTCTTTCGCCTTGGCTTTCCGGTTTTCCTTGTCGTAAAGGAGAACACTTCCGCGTAAGTACCGGTGAAAGAAACGGAATGTGTTCTTTGTGAAGCAAAGATAATCCCGAATGCTTTGCATGTTTACCTCTTTTTTTTCAATCACGAGGAGCAAGATAGTAATGGAACCATACCCCCATTGTTCGATGGATAAATTCTGAATCTCCGGTTTACTTGGGAGTCAATGTTAATAGCGTCCGCATCGCGGTGTGATGGTTCCTTCCATACACAATCGATTATTTTGTAAACTTCAGACTTTGATGAGTGACAGCTGGGGTTATCAATATTACAACCAAACAGATTAGCCAATACTGAATGCATACCTCCCTTGTCCCCGCGTTGTGGACGAGTCGAAGTATCGTCCCCACCTTGCGTGCTAGAGCTCATGCCAGCGTTGGATTGAAGCCGATTAATTCGTGACCGTGTCTCTTCAAATTGAGTTCGTCAGCCCAGTTCCTTTTATCCAGTTTCAATTGGCGCAATTCTTCCTCGCGGTCTTGAAGGCTTTTGTCCAGTCCGGTATCTTGAAACTTGGCCCCGTCCTCAGAGCTCGAGTCTGAACCATGTAATGTTTCGTTGTCTTCTGCCATTTCGTCACTCACATACTTACTGGCGATTGCCGACTTTGGTTCCCCGAGTCTTTTAGGCTCAGTCTCGTTTCTCGCTGGCCTACTATTCATCAGCAATTTGATAAAAAAAATGTCAGCAACTGTACATGTGGTGCGCCACAGTACGTGGTAGGCACATGTTTAGCATAGAGAGAGCTCTAAATGGGGATAACTACAAAATGGCTATTGTAATGGTATAACATTAAAGTGATAAAGGGAGATAACTACATAATGGATATTCACAAAACTCAATTTATATCATAAATTCTCAACCTAGAAATATTCTGATTACTAAAGTCTTTATAAATTATTTAAGTCTAACTCAACTGTCGGAACACCCAAAAAGGACACCAGAAGTACGCTAAGATAGACAAAGTTAATAATATTCATTAAATGTAAACATTACTAATATCCACCGTCCATTCCCGTATCCTAATCTACGAGTTGCTTCCCTTAGCCTATAAACTAAACATACTGAGTACTTCAAGGTTTTGGAACGATCCAAAGATAAAGCAGCCACCAGCAGCTCATAAACCAAATTTAC